ACAATATTAATTGTGTTGGGCTGGAAAGTAGGTCGGTAGTAAACAACTTGGTAGCCCTCGGTTAAATCCACGGCAGTCCACACACACACACACACACACACACACACACACACACACATTAAAAAAAAATCACAAAGAAAAAACTGAAAATTTATGTAATGAGTGACAAAAAAAATTATAATACAAAAGATACACAATGACAGGCAACAAAATTAATGGAAAGACAACACACTTTCTTACAAAGGAGACTGAACTTGCCCATGATCTACACTCTTTCAAAAAAAGAAAGAACATTTCAGTAAATTATGTGAAATTCAGGGCATGGATTATTGTGTTTTGGGGGTGAACTTAAGAAGCCAGCTCCTAGGAGGCGGCACATAGGAGGGAACAGGAATCAGGTGACATGGTGGGAGTGCTCATTTACTATTTGACTGATAAATTATTCAGTGATTAAATGAGCAAAGTTGGGTATTTCAGGTATTGCCAAAATTGTCCTTAAAATTTCCAATGAAGATGGGTGTGATGGTGCACATCTGTATCCCCAACTGTTCAGGGATCAGAGGCCCGGGGCAATGTAGCAAGACCCTGACTCAAAAGAAAGAATCTAAATGTGACCAGGGAGGGGCTGGGGATGTGGCTCAAGCGGTAGTGCGCTCGCCTGGCATGCGTGCGGCCCGGGTTCGATCCTCAGCAGCACATACCAACAAAGATGTTGTGTCCGGCTGAAAACTAAAATAAATAAATAAATAAATAAATATTAAAAAAAAAATGTGACCAGGGATGTGGCTCAGTGGATAAGCACCTGTGGATTCCATTCCTGATACCAAAAAAAGCACACAGTTAACATGAACCTGCAAAGTCCAGACAACAACAGCAAAAACAAAGTGTCATTCCCTGTCAAATTCATGACCGAGTAAAGGAGAGAAACTAGTTTTTATGAAATTGCATTCATAAATTTATCCACAACTATTTTTGTAAAATTGATTCATTTTCTACAGCAAAATGGAAGACAGAGTTTCTCCGTATGTTAAGTGGAATTCTGGAATCTAGGACATGGATTTCAATTGGAAATCACTGAAAAGACAAGATTGACGCTCAAATTTTCTATACATATTCAGGGGTGGCAAAAGGCAAATTAAGTGGGTTTTTTGTTTGTTTGTTTGTTTGATACCAGAGATTAAACTCAGAGGAACTTTACAACATCACCAGCCATTTTTATATTTTATTCGAGACGCAGTCTCACCAGGTTGCATAAGGCCTGCTAAGTTGCTAAGGCTGTATTCAAATTTGCAATCCTCCTGTCTCAGACTCTGGAACAGCAAGGACCACAGGTGAGCACCACTGTACCTGGCTGTAAATTAGAATATTTAATAATGGAAATGTAACTAGACATTAAAATCCACTTCTGTCTTGCCTCCTTAATAATAGTCCATCCCATTTGGCTCTAAATAAATAATCCTGGGCCTCAGATAAGTGAGCTCATCATTTCAAAGTGATACACAGAAAGCTTTGGTGCTGAGGGAGCACACATGTGTCAGGCTCAAGGGGCAGGGAAGGCCCCTGACAGCTGGGACATGCCCCCTCCTGGTCTTGCTCACTGAAAGCCCCCAGGATCACCCTCCAAGACACCTGGACCATGACTCCAGTCTACGAGGCTTTTCAGGTTTGCACAGCTCTGCACTGGGGTGGGTGGTCCTTATGCTCTGGGAGAGGTTTCGCTCCTTTACACTGTGAGACTAAAAGGGCTGGAATCACTGGTGACCTGGCCCCTCAGCACCAGCATCCACAGGCTGACTGGCCACCTCTCTCCAAGGAATGGGAACAGAGCTTGGGGAAAACAAAGTCCCAAGGAAATATCTGTCTAGATGAGGCCTGTTCCAGGAGATTCCTCAGCCCAGAGCCCCCAGCAGCTTCCCTGAGAGGCTGCATCCCACACCTCAGGCTGTCCTCTAGGAGGAGCTGACCCAGGGCCTGAAGTTCTGTTCACCCTGCAGGGACCAGGGCAGCTGTGGCCACCTTGTGGCAGCTCCAGGAGAGGACAGTGGCTGAGGACATGGGACCCTGTGAGGCGTTCAAAGGGAAACTCTGCCCACGAAATCAGACATGGTGTCTACACCTAAGGAAGATGTCGTTTAATAGCCAGTCATCTTCATTTCTGTATCAGACCACAATTCTCAAAACTTCTCAGAACGTATCACTACCCTTACCAGACATCTAGTCCCCACCATCTACCAAAGAAAGAATGTAATAAAGACAGACGTTATCTCATTAGATCAGAAGCCAGTTTGTCACAAGTTATGAAGAATTCATTTCTGTTTTCTGTAAAAATATCAGGATGTCTGTAGGGCCTGGCCATTAGCTGATGTTGTAAAGCTGATTGGAATGCCTGCCCATGCCTTGAACTCACCCAGGTCTGGTTTTCCCTGACCAGATAACAACCCTTTCGTAAACCTTAGTGACGCCTCATAAATTCTGGCCTTCCCTGGCCGGATAACGACCCTCTCTGAGTCTCTAAGAACTCCATAAGTTCTGATGCCGGGGCCAGCAAAAATGTAAACTTGTGTTATGCTCCTCAGAGTGTTGTTATCTGTAACCCCCCTTTGTGTAACTTTTTGGGCTATAAAACTTGGCCACAAAGAAGCCTCGGGGCTGTCCTTGGCTCCCACAATTTTGAGGGGCAAGGCAGCCCGGCTGGTCGAAATAATAAGCTTGCTTTAATTTGATTTTCATTGGAGTCAGTGGTGTTTTCTTGCGTCATTGGTCTAACACTACTAATGCAATTGGTTCCACAACTTTCTTTTATAAAAGTTCATGTAGGCCAGGCACAGTGTCACACAACTGTAATCCCAGCATCTTGAGAGGCTAAGGTAGGAGGATTGCTAAATTCAAAGCCAGCCTCTGCTGAAAGCCATTAGCCAAGTAGGTATGACACATGGCAATTTCCTTGTCAGCCTACCCCATGTTGCTTAGAGGAAGGACTCTCCATGGTGGAAATGGGCTTGCCTTGTCATTTGGAGTTCCACTTTGCAAGCTGAAAAATGATTTTTGTCAACATTTGCATAGAATCTGAACATTTATATGCTGCCTGTTATTAAAAAATTTCATCACTAGATTATGAATTTTGCAAATTTTAGGTTTAGGTTTATACTGTGGCCACGAAATGCTACAGTCTGGCTGGGCACAAAATCATGAGCCACTCACACCTTGTAGATTCAAAGAGCAACTCTTTATTCTTGTACTGTCACCGGCAATCTACACACACTTTCTGGGGAAAATCCACACCTCCACTGGGCTCTGTATCCCAAAATACTCTCTCAATCCCGGGAGAACTCAACAGGAACTCAAGGAGTGGGGTGCCTGAGGCAGCAGGATACGCCCTATTCCCAGCAGGGTACACCCTAAACCTGGATCCGCTCTGGTCCTTGAGCAAGGTCACCTTTCATTCAAAGTCACTGCAAATGACCAAGGCAAGCCCATTTCCACAATGGAGAGTCCTTCCTCTAAGCAACATGGGGTAGGCTGACAAGGAAATTGCCATGCGTCATACCTACTTGGCTAATGGTTCTCAGCAAGCCTCAGCAACTTAGTGAGGCCATAAGGAACTTTGTGAGATCATGTCTGAAAATAAAATATAAAAAGGGATGGGGATGTGGCTCAGTGATTAAGTGCCCCTGGGTTCAATATCTGTCCTCCAGGGTGGGACATATACACCATTTACAGTACTTGAATCCATGTTCCTGAGTATGGTCATTAATATTTGGGTTAAAATGCACTATTTTCCATAGCTGGGGTTGTCAAAGACTTTAATCCCAACAGCTTGGGAAGCTGAGGCAGGAGGATCATGACTTTCAGGCCAGGCTGGGCAACATAGCCGGACCCTGTCTGAAAATCAAATTTAAAGGGCTGGGGATGAAGGAGAGCAGAATAAATCAGACTCTATTACCCTATGTGCATATATGACTACAGGACTGGTGTGAATCGACATCAAGTGCAATCCGAAAAAGAAGCAGTTATACTCTATTTATGGCTGCTGTGTCCAAAGGCATTCTACTGCCATCAATAAGTAAAAAAAAAAAAAAAAAAAAATTTAAATAAATAATTTATGTCAAAAAGGGAGGGGGGCTGGGTACATAGCCCAGGATTCAATATCCCTAGGTTCTATAAACAAATGCCTTATTCCCTTTAAAGTAATTATTTTGACCAAACACAGGAAAGTGTTAAGTGATTATTCTTTCCCCTCAAGTATAACATTCACAAATAGAAAACAAAGGCTTTCAAAAGTGTTCTTCTTGCCAGGGACAGTGGCACAGGCCTGTAATCCCAGGGACTTGGGAAGCTGAAGCAGGAGGATCACAAGTTGGAGACCAGCTTCCAAAACAAGTGGAAGCCCATCTCAAAATTCAGTATAAGAGAGGCTGGGGATGAGGCTGATAAAGCTCCTCGAGTTTGGGTCCCCAATTAAAAGCATAGAACTATTCTGTCCAATATTTCACTAGATGAAAAGTGACAATTAGCGGACGGTGTGCATTTGGACCGAGTGGGAAGAACGGACGTCTGGCCGAGCTGTGAGGTGGAGGGAAGGTGGGTTTAGAGGAAGGAGGCGCCTGCAATTTGGGGGACCTACAGCAGCCTCCGGAGGCGCTCCCCTGGGAGGAGGAAGGTGCATTTGTGGCCCTGCTTCCTCCACGTTGGGAAGAGTGGGTCGGGCCACCAGTAGGGAGCTAAGGGGACGCCAGGGACCTGAGCCGCCCTTCCAAACCCAGGGAACCAGGGGACAGGGCCCAGGGCCACCCTCCAGCGGGACAGCAGGCAGAGGGGACTTGGCCGCACGCTCTGCAGCTGACCTCAAAAACACAAAACACAGCTGACCCCAAGATACCAGGGGACAGGGCCCAGGGCCACTCGCCAGCGGGGACTCCTAGGCGCTCTGCTGCTCACCCGCGCACAGGGCCCCAAGGCAGGTGCTGACCGCCTACATTCAGCCCTGGTTGCAGACTCACCATTTTTGTCTTTTGTGGTGACCCGGCGTCCTCTGGTAGAACCTCTGGGCATCCGAAGTCCCCAGGGAAACAGGCTGCACAAAGTCACCTGGGTGCCTGGAGCAGAGAATTCGCAGCAGAAGAATTAGGAGCTGCATGGGTGAGGAAGAAAAGCCCGCCCTCCCCCTCCTTCTGCGCACTGATTGGACAGTTCCCTGATGGATGGCCTCTAGGCCCCCCCTCTGCATCATGACTGACAGCCAAGATGACCCAATCACTGGCTGAAGTTGGCTAATTGATAGATTCTTGGCCCCAGCCCTTTCAGGTGGAGCTTTTTGGCTGTGCTGGGAACTAATCCAGAGGGGACACCTGGCGCTGAGCTGGGCTTCAGCCATAGAGTGCTTCCTGAGCTTGGCAAGGCCCTGGGTTTAACCTCAGCACACACACTAAGAAACCACAGCTCTGTTAATCCAAGAGGCAGAGAAAAGACCAGGGGCTCCAAAGTTAAATTAAACAAACAAACAAACAAAAAACAAAACAAAAAACTAAAACAAGCTTGTAATTCGACTCCTGGAAATAGAAGACAGAACCCCACTCCACAGCTTTATAGCACAGAAAATTGCAAAGGCGGGGGTTGGGTGGGGTGGGAGTGGGAATGGTGGTGGTCCCGAGACCTTACAGATAACAGAATTTTTAAAAGCATAACACAAGGCAGGTAGCGGGTTAATAGTCCAACACTTAGGGAGTAAATTTAGATCCCAAATCAGAATATATGAGGCACCATTAGCATTACAGAGAGGGTTGTTATCTGGCCAGGGACAGGCAGAATTTATGAGGCCCCATTAAGGTTCCCAGGGAAAGCCAGGCATGGGGGAGTTCAAGTGACGGTCAGGCATTCCAAGCAAGTTCAAAACATCAAAGGCCAGGCCAAATACAAATCCTAATACTTTACAGAAAACAGAAATGAATCTTTTATAACTTGTGACAAGGTGGCTCCTGATCTCAAGATGAAATTAGGCTGGGTTTTATCAAGCTATTCGGGGAGGCTGAGGCAGAAGGAGCAAGGGTCTGGTCAGAATCTGCAATCAGTGAGACCCTCTCTTAAAATAAAATGAAAAGGGTGGGGATGTAGCTCAGAGGTCCAGGTTAAGTCCCACTGGATTTATTCCCCAGTACCTCAGAAAAAAAAAAAAAGTGTGATATTTTACATATATAAAGCTGATGCGACTGATATGCTCAAGCACAGGATCCCCCCCAAAATCACCAGAGACTGAGATTGATGTATGCAGCAAAGAGGTGTTTATGGCCAGCTAGCTGGGTCCTCTGCATACACAGCAACTGGTGACACTGAGCGGCCCTGAGTACAGGGTTTGCGGAATTTCATACACACTTTGGGGAAGGCAGGGACTCCACATACACCATAGCATCTCTTAGCAAATTATCACACACCACGGGAAAATCAAACAACTCTTAACATTGACTAATACACTCACTGGTGAAAACAAGTTTGGTAGGAGTGATTAGTACAAGAGGGGGATTCCTTTGAACTGATTGGTTTAAGTCACGAGGGGTGTACATACTGAACTACATGGTTTCCCAACATGTTATCAATCACCATAAAATACTGGGGGGTCATCTGGCATCCCAGGTATTTCCCTGTCTCATGCTGATTGGTGGTTGCTAGGGGGTTGCCATGGCCCCTCACCTAGCCTCACTGAGTCAGGGACACCTGGCTGCTCAGATCTCTCCTGTTATTTGCAGACAAAGTCTCAGCAGGGTGGGTATGAGCCTAGGAGTGCTCCGTGGGTTTTTCCAAGGATAAGAGCCACTCCCCCTTCCTTGGACAGGCTTTGCTCTGAGGTAGGGGCTGGTTTCTCAAAAATGGAGTCACATCAGTTTCTCAAGACCTCAGGAAAATGAGAAAGACACTGTCTCCAAATATTCAATATCTAAAAATGAAAACAAATTTTGCTGAGCGCCATTAGCCAAGTAGGTATGACACATGGCAATTTCCTTGTCAGCCTAGCCCATGTTGCTTACAGGAAGGACTCTCCATGGTGGAAATGGGCTTCCCTTGGTCATTTATGGTGAAAGGTGACCTTGCTCAAAGACCAGGGCGGATCCAGGTTTAAGGTGTACCCTGCTGGGAATAGGGCAAATCCTGCTGCCTCAGGTGCACCCTGTCCTTGAGTTCCCGTTGAGTTCTCGCGGGATTGAGAGAGTATTTTGGGATACAGAGCCCAGTGGAGGCCGGTGGATTTCCCCAGAACGTGTGTGTAGATTGTTGGTGAGAGTTCGAGAATAAAGAATTGCTCTTTGAATCTACAAGGTGTGAGTGGCTCGTGATTTTGAGCCCAGCCAGACTGCAGCATTTGGTGGCCTGTACGTGGAATGTCTGAAGCTTTGGGGTAAGTGAAATTGCTTGCCCCTGAGGGAAGGCTAGAGAATGGGTGACCATTTCAAAAAACAATGTGTTCTTGTTTTGATTTATTTTGTTTTTATTTCAAGTTGCCTGTTCCTAGAACTTTCTCAGGCAAATTGGGGAAAATGGTTGACTCAAGGTTTGAAGTTGTTTGCCCCCAAGGAAGAGAAATTGTTAGAGGAAGGATGCACCCCAGTAAGACCAAGAACAATTAGGGCATATGTTGATATAGTATAAAAATGTAGCCCATGGCTTTATAAAGATGAGTTATTAAGTATGGGACCATCATGGTATCCTGGAGAAGGATTTTACCTCAACAAGAAAGAGATAGCTAGTTCTGTTTACTACATTTGTCTAAGATCTTGGTTTTTACAGACATTTGATTAATTTACAAAGCTAAAGTGTTAAAATATAAACCACTAAATATAAAATCAATTACTTTACTTATTAAGTTCCATAAGGCAATATATCTAAACATTATGTGTGTCTTCATAAATTGGTAAATGGAAAAAAAGTTTAATATTGCTTTGGTCTGTGTCTTTGCTGAAACAAGGTTACTAAGTGTTAAGATTCTATCAGGTGTAATTTATATACAAAGAGTATAAGAAGTTTCAGTTGGGTTTCAATTACAGTATTACAGTACCATAAAAAACATGAAAGTATTTCATCTTATTAAAGTGGAGTAATTTGTCTAAATTCAAAAATTTTATAAGGGTTGTTTCAGAATGTGAATTTTTATAAAAAGGGTTAATGGTTAAAAAAGAGATATAAAAAGATTCAAGATGTGAAAATATATTTTAATATAAAGGTTAAAAAAAGAGAAATGTTTCTAAATGAGATAATCTCTGTGGTAAAGTAAAAAGTTGTAAAATGCCACTTAAAAAGATTTTGAGGAAACTAGACTTACTTTAAAAGCTTGAGAAAGGAAGAAAGAAGAAAAAGGTATTTGTACATGGCAGATTGAGACAAAGCTTAATGGAGTAAAAAAAAAAAAAAAAGCCTTTAGTTGAAGGGCAGTCATGTAAGCTAACTTTAAGTGATTTAAACAGAATCTAAGCCTTGTTTAAAAGAGTGAAGCTGAAGGTGGTGAAAAAGTACATTTAAAAGTACAGTATAGATGATAATTGGAAGGCTTTAAAAGGTTAAATTGAAGGTGGTTGAGATACCTTCATGGCAGAAAAAAGAAAAAAGAGATATAAAAAGATTCAAGATGTGGAAATATATTTTAATATGGAAGGTTAAAAGAAAAAGAAATTTTTTTCTAGATGAGATAATCTTTGTGTGGTAAAGTAAAAAGTTGTACAATGTCTAAGTAAGTTTCAAAAGGCTTTAAAAGGTTAAATACAAGATGGTTAAGATGCCTTCATGACGAAGGAAAGAAAACCCATGAAAATGGGAAGATAATAGGATAAAAGCAATTTGGAGAAAGAATATTAGAAATTTGAAGTGAAAAACTTTAAAGACAGAAGTACAGAAAGGTAAAAAAAAGATTGAAAAGATGTAGGAAGATAGAAAAGATGTAGGAAGACAAGAATTTTAAACCCACAAAATAGGAAGAAAAAAGAAAACTAGGAGAAAAAAAAGCAACTAAGGGTGAATGTACAAACCTTAGGTGGGGGGGAGAACTAGAAGATAGAAATAAGATAGAAAATGGTTGAAAATATCAAGTAAAGGTATTTCAATTAGAAAATGCAAAAAGCTAAGACAATTATTAGATATAGACATTCAACATAGAAAAAGGTAGAAGAGACAAGTTTAAAGTCAAACATTGGATAAAATAGAAGAACAAAGAGATTATTAGTAATTTTTTTTCAAAAAGCCCATCAACTTTACTTATTAAAGCAAAATGAGGGAAATAGAAAGGGGTATATAGCCCCCAAAGATAAACTTAAAATAACCCTTTTTACTCTAAACTTTTAAAATTTGGATTCATCAGGGCTTAGTGCTGCGGAAAGACATATGTATCCAAAAAATGTACATAAGCCTAAGGTTCTTTGGAAAGATATTCTAACAGGACAATGGAAAGGTTCTGACCAGTGATTGTCTGGAGTTGGGGTTCTGTTTGTGTATTTCCCCAGGGAGAACAGCAGCCAATTTGGATTCCAGAGAGATTAACCAAAGCAATTTCTACAGATCAAAAAGAAGATGATTTGACTCAAATCCATAACAGCTGATATCCAGAGCTCCAGCTTGACTATTCTTACATCTGCAACAGTGATTAACCAGGATGCTTTTTTCAATGTCTATTTTATTGCCTTTTCCCACATCATAAAGTTCTATTTTATTTTTTGAGCTCATACAGACCTAGGTTAGTGTTTTTCTGATCAGTTTTATTTTTTGACTGGAGTTTTTAAACATTGCAATGGAGATTTCGGTAAAGCTACAAGGCCTTCATTATTGTCTTATGTGTTGTACGTTTGTATGCACATTTGTGTTTTGTGTTATATGTCTGTCTGTGCATATGTTCATATATCATATATGAGGAATGCTCATGAAAAAATGGATCCGAATTATTTTTTTTATTCACGTGATTTAAATGGTTTAATTTAAATTAGGTAAACAGCTGTTAAGGATTGTTTTTAAAGGAGGTTAACAGATCTGTTTGCTTACTTTCACCTTTCCTTTTCATTATATTTAATAGTTCTGTTCAGAATAATGTCTCTTTAGCATCATTGCCAGAATTCCCATCTCCATC